AGTGTAATGAAATCTTTGAAAAATAAATAAAGCACTTATTACGATACTACACTAGTATCAATACTGTTTCAAAATTGAGCCAGGCAATTGTTTTGGCCGCAGCTATGCCACAATTTACACTACAATTCGATATTGGAATACACTATTTCAGTCCTCAACGTTATCTGCAATAGCTGTGTATACTATGTTTTTTATTCCTCTGAGACAAGTACAACGAAAAAGCCCAAGAGTATTTTGTCGACAACTGTAGGATCGCATGCATGCATAAGCAAGATTGATATAGATATTTCCTTGAAAGGAAATCAAGTCAGTTTCTTTTATCATCATTTAAAAGTTTGAAATCAGAAGTATTTTCATTTCCATGACCACTTACTCCAACTTGAAAAGAAAGTCAAACTTTTATTTCAAAAAAATGTACTAGGTTACAACTAGTTTCACATTGAGATGTGTCCAAATGATTTCTTTTCATCGGTATTGCATTTCCATTTTTGTTAAGTTGTTTTTAAAAGAATAAGTAGTTCCAAGAAAATTATATGTCAACATTTTTTATCAAGGTAGTGGTAGGTTCAGGATGTTTTTTTTTAATGGGAATAACTAGCTAAAGACATGKAAAACGACAAAGATTCTCTCTTATAAACTGCTTAAGATATTTTCAAGAATGTGTATCTGAATATATATTTCTGAAATTATTTAAAATGTAATTAAATCTCTGCAATAAAACATAGAAGAATATTTGAAAATTGTCACGTTTCTSATCGGTATAACTGTTGGTGAACACGTTGTACAAACAATGTTCAAAAGGATTTCGTACAGTGTTACATCWGTTACATATTTCTTGTGTAAAGGCAGATCTAAAGAAATGACTGCACACTAGGAGCTACACTCAAAGACGTAGTGTACCAAAATCCAAAATACAACAGGATATTGCAAATATAATACGAAAAAAAATAAAAAAAAATAAAATTTATCGATTCACTCACGCGGGAAAAAAACTGGAAAACTCTAAAAATGACATCGCTGAATTTGATTATTTAAAAGTAGCGCTCGGTTAATAAGATATTATTATTATTTAACAGTTATTCCAAGAAATCGAGGTTTTTTTACCACAGCTGTGTAATTCTCGCGCGCTGATTGGCTGATCATCAGAGTATGTCAATACTGTGCTGGGAACCATCACGTCTCTTCCGTTTAAGCAAAATTTTGTGGCTGATTTTGGTGTGTTTATATTGATGTTTTCGAAGAAAATAGTCTGRATTTTGTCTCCTTTGTGAGAAGCGAGCCTGGAGAGCGAGCAAAAATGTTGACAACCACGCCAAAATCTGACTGTTGACGATTTGAAAAATGCACAACAATAAATTGAGAACTTTTACTGAATTGCMTCGCTTACAAAAGAATTGTGAAAATAGTCAAGAACGTCCTCAAAAAATGTGTTCATTCTGGCAGATTTCTAGTGAAAAAAAACATTTCCAAGAAAACGATGTGGTGTCAAACGGAGATGAACAAAAACAACCTTGTATACCATGATATGATGCAATATTKTTTCGCTATATCTCAATCATTAAAGGTTAACTATTTTCAAAAATATCGGTTACCTTAGTTGAACGATTAGTGACAATTGTCAACTTTCATTCTTTTAGTTCTTGCACACTATAACTATAGTTTTACGAAATACAAATTAGAACATGAAAATTGTTTTGATCCGCAAGGAATGGACGTTTCAATCAACTGAGCAGAGAGCAGCCCCACAATTTATCAATGAACAAACGAAACCCAAAACCAAAAAAGTACAAGRAAACKTTTGATTTTGGTTTTGCGCTTGCCATGGGAGTGTTGGATCKATTTTCAGAGTATTTCAGCGTCCTTTTGMTTCCCTCTTTTTCCCTCAAAACKTTATATTTTTCAGCAAAGAGCAGATTTAAACGAATGACTATGTACACAAAAAKCTTCCCAAAACTCAGAGAAATGTCACTTTTTATTAATTAATTTTTCAATAAAATCCCAAGAAGCATGCTGAAATTATGCAATTTATACTCGGAGTCATTTTTAAAAAGAATTTTTTATGATAACATTTAAGTTACGAAAACAATTTAAAGCTCGGACGGTAAAATTTCATTTTCATTTTCAATTTCAATTTAAAATTGAGCTTAAAAAGTTTTCGTAACTTACATTTATCATAAAAGTTCTTTTTTAGTAACATAATTCCAGTTTGGCTATATAACTTCGACAACGTGCAAAAATATATCAGTTCTGCTTATAATAGCGACTACTGGCACTTTTTAAATTCTGGGGCTGACAATTGTCTTACCTTAATCTAAGACAGTCTTCATTTTACTATGTCCTCTGCTAGTGCCGATTGTATGCTCTCAGGTTTAGTTTTCCATTAAATTACGTGCGGTCTGCGTTACTAGGCAATCGTGTTTATTTTTCAAAAATACGTTATGATTCTTACAATGCTTTTGTGATATTATATTACATTTTTAAATGTAAAAAAAGTTATTAAAAGTTATTATTCTTCGTTTCATTTGGCCTTTTCTGTTAATATTAAGCTTGATTAAAAATTTAGTACATTAGTAGGGCCAAATTTTATTKGTCAGTGATCTTCTTCAAGTCAAATGCTGGATTGGATTCTATGAGCTTGATTAACATCGTATTCCTATTTTTTCATTTTTTCCGGTTTGTGTGCTTAACAGAAAAACAGATCGTAGCACCTCATCGTTTTTAATTAAAAGCCATCCAATCATGCTTTATTCCGGCGCCCCCAACAGATTTTCAAATATGATGCGACAGTACCACAACTGTGAGCAAAATAATTATTAGGAATATACAGCGCACGGTTTGGAATATACACAACTCTGAATGACATCACGTTAGATTTTCAAGGCGGATTTCGGAAAATTAACGTTTGCCTATTTTTAACAAACGAATTTCGGTGAATATTTTTGTTTGACAATCTCACCAAATTCTCATTAGAAACGAAAGAGGCCAGAGAACGTCTGATGGATTCTACGTCACACAGTAATTGTCACCATTCTCCCCAAGGACTCCCGGTAAAAAAATCAGAAGAAGCCCAAATAAGCCATTTTCTGAACTTTTCAAAAAATACCACTATTTCATCAAATTTTTTTCCCCTCAAACCATGATTGTCATTAAACGTTTCTTGCATAATTTGCAAGTATAAATCCAGTATAACTTGCATGCGCATGTCAGCTTTGTGATTTATGTGGTGATCGCGATGTTTTACCATAATTATAACTTGTAGAATTCTCGCGCGCTGATTGGTCGAGAGCCGTTGTCGATCCTAGGAYAGACCGATGAAATGACGAATAGTCRCTCACGCACGRAGCCGGCGCGCGCCAGAAACAATTTTTTTTTTGAAAGTTTGACTTTGTTTTCGGCAGAGGTAGCCCAAGCACTGGACTTGGCAGTGAAAAACGGAAAGTTCAATAAAAGTGATAAAACTGAATAAAATTATTTCAAACTACAACATAGTGTTCTTCTTATTTTTCTCAACATCACTGAGAAGTWTCAGCTCATTATGGTAAACGTTCCCCTACTTATATATATTATGTCGCTACGCTCGTGGTTCCACTTGAGTTTTAATCATTTTCTGACGTCATTTTCATTGTCGATAAGCGTACAGACCATAGAAAAGCGATTTCGATTTGTTAACTGTACAATAGCTCGTTCTCAACCATTTCCAATGAGATTCAAAAGATRAATGATCGGCGGCAACGTTTGAGGAATGAGCAATAGATAAATCAAAGAAAAATCAGCCTTTGTTGAAGTACCTGCAAGATGGCCGCTGTGATGTAACTTGAAAACGAAGAATAAGAGACTTTCTAATGTGATTATTTTTGTCCCTGGCTCCTGGAAAACACTGATTGTATTATTTTTCCTCGTCATTATCAAAGGTTTGAATCGCATTACTGTCAGAGGCAATTTAGGGGCAGTTTAGTCAATAACATCTATCGTTCATCACTCGTTGCATTCTAGTTATCGTTGKCATTTCTAAGCGAACATACAAGGGAAAATTTGAATAAATCTACTTTCGTGATAGATGGAGCTTAACACAGRCAAAGGCAGACTAATGAATAATAGAAAAGAATGGTCAATGGCAGATAGAAAATTTCGAGAAAAAAATTACAAAAACAATTGACTTCAAAGTTTTCAACCATCGCACAACAGTTTTTCTTCTGTGTGAGTCCAAAGAAAAACTGGAAAGGAAAAACTGCAGTCTATCTTCTTCACAGTCTTGAAATCGCAAAAAAGCTGGCATCACGTCAAGAGATTAGGACATTGTTTCATCGTATCTTCATCGAGATATGGTAAATTTCTCTCTGACAAATGCAACATATCGAGGTCTATGTAATAAATGTAAGTTCCAGAGTACTCCTCTTCTCTGGATTCAGAAATGGAGTGAAAGAGTTTATTGTATTAACTAAGAATGAATTTTTATATCCAGTTTTGGGTGAAAGTTCATTTATTTCCTWTTTTAATTAACTTTGTGTCGAATAATTACATGCTTGTCAGTATAGAATATCCCTTAAGCATTACGTCTGTGAAAAGTCCATGTTGACATCACTGATGCTAAGAACCAACAGTGTTTGGAGTTCGAAAATTTATCCACATTTGCCTTATAAACATATACGTTTAAACGTAAATATCAAAGCATTTCTTCTTATAGAAGGCAGGATTATTGAGTGTAGACCGTGTTTTGGGGACTTTTTGAAGATCTCATTGTAATGTTTTTCCTTCCCAATCTCCCATGTCTTAGCTTCGATGATAWAAACATTTTGAACAAGRTAATCTTATTTCAATTCGGTGTAAATTAAACTAYATTYATATAATGTTTACATAATAGTTCTAAGAATTGTGTTGTCTAGTGTCTATTATCGTGACTACTGTTATACATTATTTATATCATTTATCATTAATATCAGTTTGCTGAAGAAGGCCGAAGTGCCGAAACGTTCTAATAAAGAGTAGGAATAATAGTTGCAAGTTGCGTGCCTTTTTCTTCAATTTATTCAATTTATTTATCATTAATATCAATATAATTGGTTATATTGATCGGTGAAAGAACTTCCTCCCCCAACCAGTGACGATAGAGTTCCAATTTAAATACCTCAACTAAGTAGGATACTATTAAATTACTAGAACTTAGGCGAAAAAAAAACAACAGTTTTACCTAGCCTGAGAATATCMAGGTGCCCTTATTCTACGTCCATATCTGGATCGATGTGGACGGCGGCTAAAATAAGCACTTGGGTAATTTTTGTCGGCAAAGGCGATAACATTTTTGAATTTATCTTTTTTTTCACTTGATAGCCTTTCTGTGACCTCATCTAGTTTTGCTTTCTTCAATGGATTAGGATGAGCTAGCCTATTCCTCTCATCCAGCGTATCTTCTAAGAATGGAATTKGAACTTCGGCTTTATTTAGTTTTCGTTTAATCCTTGCCCATTTCTTTTTAGCACGCTTTTGTTTATCTTTAGGTTCATACTTTTTTATCTTGTCATCAATGTCTTCTAGATGTGGTTGATTGTAATCTGTTCTTTCACTTCCGTCTTTTTTCTTGAAGTAGGTTTCTACTACATCCCGGTTTATCTCTTCCATCAAATTCCCGSTTAGCTGACCTGAATATAGMGGATCTGAAATTTCATGCAACTCATTGATGACTTCGGATAGCCTCTTATTCTGRGCTTGAAACGAATTTCCCACATCGTTCCTCAGATTTTCCATATCGTTTCCTACATCGTTCYTCAGACTTCCCACATCGTTCCTCAGATTTCCTATATCGTTCCTCAGATTTTCCATATCGTTTCCCACATCGTTCCTCAGATTTTCCACATTTCTTTCTATAAGGCGTTGCACCTCTTCTCTGTCCATGGTTTGCAAGTTGAATTAAG